AACTGAAGATTGCCGATAAACAGCAATTTAATTCGCTAGATTTTGGAAAATGGCAACAATTTAAAATCGAACCAAGAACAAAAATAAATGGATTGTTCGATGTATATTCTATGGTTTTTACAAAATATGCAACAACAAACCCATTTGGTAAAAAGGATGAACCATTAAAATTAACAATAGTCATGAATCTAAGCAACATACTAAACATAGGCAATTATGTGACCAAGTTTCGATCATATTCTCGTAAATTATTTAAAAAATATAAAAAAGAAACAAAAAAACCTATGGGTCACCTTAAAGAATTTAGTACAAATGTAAATTGCATTGCTTTCGAAAGCTTTGACAACCTTACAAACGAATTTACAGAATATAAATTTGGAGAGTGAGTAGCTTATATGTTTTTTATAATTAAAATTAAGTATTTAATGTACTAACTACAATTTTCTTTGTCATATCTAATCTAGCTGGATTATTGACTTTTTTTGTCTTATTCCTATCCAAATTGCTGTTGCACATGACAATGAATTTATACCAATTCGAGACGGATTCTTAGAAGAAACTGAACAAAATATATTTGATGATGGATTTGGATTAGTTGGTAACATATCAAAAGCCATTTCATTTGGATGGTATGAATCTATATTCGAACATTATGCTGATTTAGAAGTAAAAGTCATTTCATCTATGGGAGAGCAATCTTGCGGTAAGTTATTTGCTTTTAACAAAAATAGCAACAGTGTAGTTTTAATATCAATATAAGTAGTAGTTTAAAAGTAAGGCTACTTATCAGAATTCATAATCCTATATTATTAAACATATAGGCAAGAGCTACTTGCTAAATCATTGTCTTGGTTCAACTTTCGATGGATCCGCCATGGTTAGTTGGTCATTAAAATTTGCATATATAATTATTTTTTGTACATTAATATCTATATTGAACATATTTTAGCGTTGCACGGAGGGTGTATGGATGTCATTAGGAAAGTTTTTACGCATTATTGATTTCTGTACTAAATATATAATCTTGCATGATTAGACTGCCATTATTTATTTATCATTATAAACAGTAAAAATCAACGAAACTCTTTATGTGGCACTTGATTTTGAAGGTAATATATACATATATTTTTTGATAGGTAGTCTAATGATGATATATAAACAAGTATATTTTATAGGATTAGCAAGTATTGAAAGATCACCTCAAGAAGAAACATTTTTACAGCTTTTGAATGCGGCACTTTCAAATCTTGTACTTTTTAAAAGCAATTTTGCAGTTAGCAGAGATATTTCCTCCATGTTTCAGCGTTTTCAAGATGGAGCTAATTATTTTGGAGATGATTCTGACATATTTCAAGTAATTTATATATTATTTATGTAAAACACAATATTATTACAAAAGCTTGTTATATTTTAATGCACCTGTTTTTTCTTTTGTGAAGGCATGTTTTTGTATAGTTATTAAGGATGTTGCGAAAGTCGATAGAGAGGGAGTCATTGAAGAATTTCATTTAAAATTTGCGAAAATTGTTGACAAAGTATTTTACAATTATTAATTTTGTGCCTCGCAAAAACTCACTACCAATAAATGGCCTATAAAAGATCCCACAATACAGGTAGTACAATACCCGGTGCAAATTACAGAACCTATAATTGAATGCCTGGTAAAAATGAAAATATGCATGCTCCTTAAAGTTTTCCTTTTCATATTAAGAACTCCAAACAGTGAACTATGCAACTCTACTATATGTTTTACCATTAGTGGAATGTAGGAGACGGGTATTTTATCCGGCCATTTATGGTACATAAATTTTCAATAGATCTAACTCTTTGAATACTGTACCTTAGGAAGAGGAAGATAACTTCGTAACAAAACTATATAGCAACAAGATGTCGATAGTTGCTTGGCCAGTATTTTCTGACCCATAACTCTATTTTCTCATCCAACTAATCTCATACTGCTACCTTTTTTACTGCTTTTTCTTTTAAAGATCTCTATAAGCTTGCCAACCAAGCAA